TTTTTATTAGTCAAATTAAAAAAGTGTAATAAACAATAATTATTTTATTGATAATGAAAATGAAATGCATAATTTAGAACTAACCAAAAATGAAATATAAAAATTAATAATAAGTAGTTCAACTTTTGGGTTAAATGTGTTAACGTTTAATATCATAAAAATAATAAAATTTAATAAAATACAAAAATACAAAAACGAAGAAAACACATAAGTTTTGCAAAAAAAAAAAAAAACATTTAGGTACATGTATAATATCATGTATTTATCATATTAAACAAAAAGTAAGTGTGACATATCAGAATTATTTTTACACACAAAAAATACAAAAAAAAAATTATAGAAAAAATTTAACACATCTATAATTCTATATTTACACTACTATTAAAAATATAAATAATATTATAGAACTTTCTTTTGACTAAAATCAAGATTTTTACAACCGATCTAGAAATGGAACCACTTTGGCTTCCGGTTTCTAGGTCAACGGTTCAACTGTCTAGTTTGAGCAAGTCAAACCGATAAGATGTAAAATATAATGCAACTTTTTATTTTGACCTTTAGATTAGGACTAGGTTAAAAGTCTGCCATATATATACATTATTATGAGAGGGGAGTGTGAGAGTTTGAGAAAGAGGCAACTGGTTAAAGCTGAGAAGTGAGAAAGAAGAAGAAAGAAAGAAAGAAGGAACTTTCATCGACGGTTATCTCCATGTTCATCATCACCACTGTTATAATACCATTTGGCCTCTTCTTACATCCCTCTCATCTTTCTAAATCTCTCCCAGCTCCTAAATCGTTTGCTTCATTGGTGTATCTTAGATTTTAATATAAGATTGGTATTTAGTCTCCCATATCTTGCATCATTTTTTTGACTTTTTTATTGGAGTTGTAATTTTTTTGCTGTTACAACTTAAAAAGAACTACAGAAATGAGAAAGCTCAAAATCGAAATAGAGAAACTAAAAAACCTAACTAATTTTGGCTATCGGGAATAATCAAACAAGTTTATGAGATATGAAAGTTTCTTTTTCATTTTTTTTTATTTTCTAATTTTTATTTTAAAATAATAAAATTTTGGAAATAGTTTGAAAGCAACCCAAGAACGTTAACTGGGTCGAACATTTTAATGGTTAAACCGTTTAGGTCAATAGTTCTTTGATTATTTCAATGTTTTTTTTTTTTTTTTTGTAAAATAGCGGTTTATGGCCAAAATGGAATTGGTGACTTGACCGGTTCCTAGTCTAAACAATTTCATCGTTCAATTTGGCTCGATTTTTAAAAATGTGACTAAAATACTCATTTTTAATTTAGTCCCTATTTAATTGTAATGTTTAAATTGTAAATTGAATTACAACTTTTCACCTCATTCAATTCCCTCTATTTAAATCTTCATTTTTCTATAAATAAACAAAAGAAAAAAAGATAAAACACTACAAAAAGAAAAGTTTAGCCAAGTAGGTAGGCCTGTCAATGATACTCGAAACTTCACAATTTGATCTAATTACCACATTTGAATGAGGTGTTTATGTAATTAGATTTGAATTTTGCAATCTACATCTGATTAATAATAAAAAAAACAAAAAATAGTCACAACGAAAAAATAAAAAATACATAAAGTTTATAGAAAATTTTGGATATATTATTATTATAATTATCATCATTTAAAACTGTCACATGCAAACCCTTCTTTGTTTGAGAAAGGGTATAAATGTTATTTTATTATAACTTTAATGCCAGTTTTAATGTCTAATAAAATGTCTATACTTTTGTATTTAATCCATTTCTAATTGTAAGGGTTGAAAATGTAACTTCAATTATTACTTAAGGTATTAAATCCCATTCTCTCTTATTAAATCTTATATTTTTAATTTATTTTTTACTAATAAATGCTATTAATTAGATCCATGTCAATATTTTTAACAATATAAACCCATATATTTTAAAATTCACTCAAAAGCAAAAACATTTTTTGTCCAAGTGGTGATTAAGCAATTCAATGATCTGAATCAAATAAATCAACTTATGAAGTCATATTTAGGTAATAATTTTTTTAAAATATAAATAAATATTGAGAATTACAAAAAAATAGACACATTTATGATATTTTTATTAATTAAATTAAAAAATAATTTTAATGTAAAATACAAAATTATCATGAACAAAATTAAACCAACAATGCATTTTTCTAAACCTGATATATTTGTATTTGTACTCTTTCCAAATATAGCCCAAATACAGCCTAAGGGCCTGTTTCTTTGCAATGCAATGCATTGACTCAGTTTGGAAAGACTGCAAATACAGGTTTGGTAATACAAAATACAAGACTTTGCATTGTACATTTTTGTATCTGTACTCCTTTCAAACTGAGCAAGTGCAAATCATTAGTGTAAACTAGGGATTTTACTTCAGTTTGATTTGTGTATTGTTTTAGATTGTTTAAACTATAATCAAACAAAACAAAGAAAAAGTTAAAAGAAAAATAAAACAGAATTTGCATTCAACTAAAGCTCAGTTTGGAAGGAGTACAAATACAAATATGTATAGTGCAAATACATACAAAATAATACAAAATATAAGGTTTTGTACTCTACAAATTTACATTTGTACTCCTTCCAAACTGAGCCTAATTTACACTCCCATACTTTGCAGTTTGCACCAATACAAATGGAGTATAAATCCCGGCTCAGGGTAAATTTGTATTCTGGTTCACTTTTGCCTCTGCTTAGCAACATTATATTTATGCATTGGCAAATGACATACTGATGCATATTTACATTGATAATAAGATGCAAAAGTACATCAATAAAAAATAAGTAAATTTGTATTCAAGTGGACTTTTGATTAAAAAAAAATATATGCTTTATCGAAATTCAGGTTTGCATCCATTACAACTAAAAGTGTGTTTGGTAAGAACATAAATTTATCAGTGCAAAACTAATTCAACTTTACAATTTATATGAACCATTTTACACTCTAATATTTACATTCACACTTATTTGCATCGTTTCCAAATACAACCATACTAATTCATTCAATTCAACGGTTATCAATAACCGGCCCAAGAGAATAAAAGAGATGATGGCCAGATCATAAGAGCGAAGATGGGTGACTTTTAACATCAACGTGAGGAGATTCAGAACCAACGCAAATAATTAACACCTAAAACACTGTTAGAAGAGCTTGGAAAAAAACAAACACCTCGTCAGTCATCATGTTCGTTTTGCTTTTGTATTCCTACTGTAGTACTGTTTTATTATCACTGGTTTGACTTTCGTATATTCCTCGGTCCACCTTGTCATGCTTGGAGTTGGGAGCATCTAATTGGCCATCGCCCGATCACATCGTATGGTTGTGCTTTCGAGGGACCGAACCGGCTGGTCTCCGATTTCTGCCTATTTGTTCCCACATTCTTACAATCTTACAGCTGCGCATTACTAATATCTTCCTTATCCCCTAATACAAGGTAGTGGTGTCCTGAATATCTTTGTCATTTATGAGTAGATTGTTATGATACATTACGGTGGTGCTATGTGGATAGAAATTAGGGGCGTAAAATGGAAATACCTAATTGGATAGGATCTGGAAGAATGTGATATCTCTTTCTTTCAAATCGGATTGGATTATATTCAAATATCTAATATTCTTAATGGATTTGGATTCAAATTAATGTTTGTGAGATCCAATTGAATCTTAAGATAAATAGACTTTACTCCCCCTCAGAAATCTGAAATTACAGTCATTTTCTAGCCCACCCTATAAACCTCATCCTGTCCATGAATTTGACATCAATTCATGATCAGAATTCATTCCACCCCTACGGTGGAGCTAAGATTTCTAAGGGTGGGTTGAACAATTAAAACCCATAGAATCTTTGAATAGGATTGGATCTACTATTTATGCTATCAGATCAGATTCAAATGTACCCCATTTGAATCCAATCTGATTTGTTTGCATCCCGAATAGAAATGTTATAATTGAGCTGAAATGAGTCAAGTTTTGAGTGGCTTAAGCTCGAATTCGACTCAAAAACTCAGAGCTTGATCAAGTTTTGAATTCCATACTCAAGCCTGACTTGACTCAATACTCGCAGAGTCGCAAATTACTCGAGATTGACTTGAATCAAGCCAATTATATATAAATATCTATTAAAAATTATAAATGAATTAATATTTAAAATATTATAAATAAAAAATATATTAGAAAATGATTATATGTTAAAAATTATAAGTAAATCAATATTATAAATAAAAAAATTAAAATATATTATAAAACTTGATTTAAATTTATTTATTATAAATAAATTAATATTTATTTATATTATAAATAAAAGTATATTAAAAAATATTTTTTTATTGAAAAATCGATTAGGCTCACGAGCTATTTGAACCGGGTATTATAAAGCACAAACTTAGCTCGACTATGTAGTCTACTCAAATCAAGCTTGACTCGATTCGATAGTCTTTGAACCGAGTTCAAGTAGTTAAGAACCGAGTCCGAACAGCTCGCGAGTTGGTTCGACCCAGTTACAGGGGGCACAATTTCTGGGTAGCGGTCTAGCATATTCGGAGAGGCACTGGCTTAGCATACTTTAACGTGTCAGTGGAGTGCTCGGTCCCTTTTATTATCAAAGGAGCGAAATTCAACTGGAAGAAACGTGCTGACATAGTACTCGGAGAAAGATCGAAAGAATATGGTGATAACAGTATTGGAATGGATCCTCTCCATCATTCAAAGTTCAAAGTCCAAACCTCAAACCAGGGCAGGAGATTATGGAGGGTCATGGTTTCAACATCATTCACCAAATATTTTCTACGTTCAGTCAGGAGTCAGGACCTGGTCCAGGATAAAGAAGCATGATCTACTCTGGCCACGTCTACTCCACATGAACTATTACCTTCGTCCATCAGGCATCAGCTAAGGCGGCAAGCTGGCGACAACATTTATCTTCGTCCATTTCTCATCGACGTTTCAACAACGACAAGGAAGACGGTATCCATTATTTCAAGTTTTCAACTAATTACTTGTTAGTTGACTAGCTTATTCAGAAGAAAATACCGATAAGAGAAGTCGGGTCAACTTTGTAAAAAATGAAATCGCGTGCATCATTTCCGCTGTTTCTCTGATGAAATCGCGTGCATCATTTCCGCTGTTTCTCTGTTAATCAATTGAGTTCATCCTCTGGCGATTGCTCATAGAAAGGAGAGCACAAACCGATCACGGTTTCTGGCTAGGATTTCCATCCATTGTTGTAGCTTAGAATAGAAAGTTCCAAGCTTCTGTCACTGAAATATGGTGGCTGCAGGAAGCAGAAGATATGTGTTAAGCTTAGGTCTAGGAATTCTGGTGTTTACCTTCTTTTGTGCTGGAGCAGAAGCTAAGTGCAGCAGTGGCTGCGGTCTCGCCTTGGCCTCTTATTACATCTGGCAAGGAACCAATATTTCATTCATCTCCGAAATCTTCTCTGCTTCAAGGGAAGATATTGTTAGCTACAACTCTCTATCTACCCAGGATTTTATTCCATTTGGCACCAAAATTAACATTCCCTTCTCCTGCGAATGCTTAAAAGAAGATTTCCTGAGTGAACAAGTTCTGGGTCATGTGTTCAATTACTCAGTTAGGTCTGGCGATGTCTATTCAATTGTCGCTGAGACATATTATTCGAACCTCACGACCGTAGAATGGTTGGAGAAGTTTAATACCTACTCTGCCTCAGGAATCCCAGACAACGCCCATCTCAATGTCACAGTGAATTGTTCATGTGGGGATAGCAGTGTTTCCAAAGATTATGGGTTGTTTACAACGTATCCTCTCCGTCCCGTTGATACCTTGGCATCCGTTGCATCTGAATTCAATATTTCCGCCAGTTTGTTGCAGAGCTACAACCCAAATACAAATTTCAGCCTTGGGAGTGGTTTGGTGTTTGTTCCCACCAAAGGTGATATTCTTTGCTTGTTTGCTAGTTCAAACTTAGAACCATAACAACATTTTGTTTCACAGCTAAACTGAACATACAAATTTGTGAAAAAAAAGTTAAAACTTAGATGTTGAGAATCATGATGATATTTTGTTTAAACAGAAATTGAGAACGTGTAGTGTATGAAGCAAAAAGAAACACGTAACTGAAAATAAAAATCATGTTTGCTGAGTTCCATGTGAACCAAATATCCACCATCTGTGAGCTTTGAAACGGTTGTCATATCTCACATCCTCTATCCATGCTCCAGAAAATCTAGATAAACAACATTTCGAGGTGTGATCTTATTTCAAAATCCTTATTGAATCTTTATTATTGTATCATACTCGTTAAAATCCCTAAAACATGATATTCTTTCTTATTATGAATAACAACTGTCCTGTCTGTAACCCCTGGAATTCCTGTTTTGCTTTTCCATTCTTCAGTGTCATATCCATCATTAAATTATGGGCATTTTAATGATCCTTTTCGATCTGCCCCTAGCTCTTCTGGTCCCTTCAACTTAAGCAAGTCAACACATTCAATTAGTTTATTTATCTGAAAATTAGGAAGTAGACGTCAAAGGATTTAGCTAATTAAAAACTCAATAGGGTAAATTTTGTAATGGGGCTAATCATTTATTATGGATCTAGAGCATTAACAGTAGTTGAATTATGAATTTAGTTATCAGTGCCTGTTGTAGGAACTTTTTGAATTTATCTTGCTAATATCATTTTCTTCCTTTCTGTTTCTCTGTTATCTCCCCAGATCAAACGGGAAGCTATCGACCACTGAATTCAAGGTAACCTATAATGGGTTACTCATAAATTGGGTTGATCTTTTACATTTTCCATAGTTAAAAACCTTCTCTTGTTGTCTAACATGGATGTTAAATTTGTTTGTTTGTTTTTTTTTCTGCAGTGCAGGTGGTTGACTCTTCTATTGATTTTGTGATGTTTGCCGAATTTTTTCATTTTGGAATTCAAATGCCAGTGTCGTTTTTTGTAGTGTTTTGAGCTTATGATTTACTATTCTGGAACATAAGCAGGAATTTCTAGTGGAGCCATTGCTGGCATATCTATTGCAGTGGTAGCTGGAACACTGCTTTTGGCGGTTTCAGTGTACTTTCAAATTTATAAGAGAAAGAAGGCGAAGGGGGCAGTGTTGCTCACCACAGCACCTGATGATAGTTCTACTAAACATGGGCATGGTAAGTCTTCTATTTTGGTTAACATGCATTTGATTATCCAAATTTTCCCTAGCAAGGGTTCTTCTTCAGGATTTTCTAGGACTATGCCAAGCTATCTAACTATTTTTCAACCTTGTAAGGGAAAAACAAGAGTTGATTAGCCAAAGAATTCCATTCTAATTATAAGGGTGTGATTCTTCAGGAATTTCTGAACTAGGCAAAGCCATTTTGTTGATGTACTCCCTTGCTAACGAAAAAGAAAAATTGAGATGCAGTTTAGATTAGAATTTCATACACATTCATGACGTTACCAAAGCTTATTTTTCTTTTCATATATTGTTATTCTCCTGATTAAGTGTCCGTCTTTGCATCCTGTTAATTAATTTTATTGAAGCCTGTTTTCTTTGTAATGTTCTTTTGTTAAATATGTCATGCCCATTTTTTTGGAAAATATTTCCTTTAAGAGGGTAATTCTTGTGGTTGATTTGCTCCTTTGTTTTATGGGATTTACCATCTTATAAGGTATGGTGGTAATGGTTCCGTTAGGCAAGGATACTTTACAAATAGAAGACTTGGAATGTGAAATACCAGTGCTGTCCATGCTTCCCTCACATAATTTCATATGAGTTGAACTTTGAGAAACCTTTTCTTTGTCTGGAGAAATCCATTTAACCTGGTTGCTATTATTATGTATACCATCCCTGATGATATCCATTGTTTGCTTATTCAATTATGATTACCCTGTTAGAACATTATTGTAAAAGCCTGGCAGAATTTAAAATATTATAAGAAAAACATAATGAGCAATTGATTTTATTGTGTAAGTTCTGCAGGTACCTTGGATAAAACCACCGAGATTGTTTCTCTTGTTGGTGCTTCTCCGGGGCTTACAGGTCTCACCGTTGAAAAATCAGTGGAGTTCTCATATGAAGAGCTTGCAGAGGCTACAAATGACTTCAATTTGGCTGGTAAAATTGGCCAAGGTGGCTTTGGGTCAGTTTACTATGCAGAACTGAGGGGGCAGGTTTGTATATCTTCATATTGATAAATACTGATGGAAAATAAAAACAGGGGTGCTTACCTGCTGTGATTAGATAATGGAATTTGGTAAATGATGGCACTTTATCAACAAAACTTCATTATACATTCTTTTTTTCTTGGCCATCATTACATAGATCTGGGTTCACATGTTGGTGGTGTCCTTACAGTGGTATTTCCCCTCCCATTAAGGGGCACTACCTTATGACCTTTAGGGGGTTGTGAGGCACTGTCAAAGTATCAGTGTCTTTGACCGTGTAGAGAACACTGATGTGGGCCCCACGGCTGTGGTCCTCACTGTGTTCGTATGACAGCACATGTAACCTTTGTTAGTTATGTTAGTGTTAGTTGGTAGTTATCTTAGACAGCTTATTATTTCAGTTTATTATTTGTTTTATTTGCCATGTAAGCATTAACGGCAATTCTGCCATTTCCTACATTTAGTGAACATAACCTATAAATATTAAGAGAGTGGAGGCGGCAGATTCATTCGATCTGTCCCTCATTTCAAAACCCTTGTGTACTTCTGCTTTCTTCTACTTTTCTCAATCCAAAATCTTTTGGAATTCAAGTCTAATTGTAGTCTTTATCGACTACTTGGTATCAGAGCCTATCTAGGGTTTCTCATGTGAGTCTAGTCTAGCCGACCACATGATAACTGTCTAGGGTTGGAAGCTTACAAAAGACTGTTCGTTGGCTGATTCTTGGAGGTTACCAAAAAAATTTAGCAGCTGTCCGAAGACTTGTAGAGGCTTGGAGAGTGTTTTGGTAATCAGGAAGAATCAGAGAAGGTTAGGGTTCAGGCCACGATTGAAGGTAG